CAGCCCCCGGAAAAGCAGTCTTCGCCCTCAACCTGAAAGCCACGTGGAGACCGGCCTGGTTCCTCTACTGTCCTTCAGAAGAGTTGCGTGCCACAGTCAGGGGACACGAAGAAGTGTTCCCATCATCCCACCACCAGCCACCCTCACGATCCAGCCCTTTTCGGTAGCTAGTGATCTTGCAGCAAGCAGGATCCGGCCCAGTCTGTCTTTCTGGACGTTGCTCTTCTGTAGTTTCCCCACTCATTGTACTGTAGTGTCCCCAGGACATATACGGCCTTCTCCAAAATACGCCAGCTAGATATTACAGTTTAAGATAGAACAAATCACTTTTCGGCACGCTTTCTCCCGAGCGGTAGCGCGGCCGGCCTTCCCCGGTGGCAGCAAAGACTGCCAAGAGTATTGCAGTGGCTTCTCGACGCTCGATTTAAAAAGTCCGCCGTCTCCAGTCGCTGAGAGGAATTCAAACTGCCCGCACTTCAGGCATCAGCCGAACTGGATTCTGGAACCATCTCGCTCGGGTTTCTCCAACCAGGTGCTTCCCAGGTGTGTTGGACTACATGTCCTCTTATCCCCAGGCTGGGATGGAATTTACTGGCCAGCACATCCGAAGGGCGCCGGACGGGAGAAAGCTGGTTTGTGCCATCATCCAGGACGCCCCTTTTTCCCTGTAGGAGAGGCAAGTGGACTGCAGTCTGGAACAACTGTCCTTAAGGTGCCACAAGATTCTTCGTCGGTTCTGCCGGAACAGATCCCCGGGTTCTTTGCTCCTGGTCCCCAGTCTCAACGCGCTCTTTGCTCGATGTTTTCCAGTTTTCTGCAAAGACAGAAGTCCTTGGTAGTAGCTGGAATACCCCCAGAACCAAAGAGACAATCAAAATAAAATTAAAAAAATAATAATAAGCGGACGGCCCGCTTTTCGGTGCCGTCTCCAGCATCCTTTAAGCCGAGCAAGCTCCCTGCATGGGTGAAGGGAGCGCTCCAGCGCGTCCCCCCCTCCGGGGCCAACTTCCCCTTCGTTGCCATTCCGGGCAACCGGGCCCGGGTAACGCGAGAGGCGCCATCAATAATGGATGCGCCTGCCCGGGAGAGCTGCCGGCCGCCTGCTCAAAGCTCTGGCGGGGGGGGAGGGGGGCAGAGGCGCGGCGTCCCCCCAGCCGAGGCTGAGAGCCGGGCGGCCAGCTGGAAAGGGAAAACAGCTCTGTGTCATCTCGGTGCCAACGGGGCGCGGGTGTCTGTGTGTGTAAGGGGGGGGAGTTCAAACATTGCCTTCTCCGTTTTACTTTGCGAGGCTTCGTCAGCAAGTGGAAGCCCCGATGCCCAAACTGCCCCCCCTTCATCTATAAGCAAGCTGGCCCCACTTGCATGCCTGGAAGTCAAAAAGCAGGAAGAATAGTGATGGTAACAATGGGCATTCCCTATGGGGTCGTCAAAGGCGCCCCACCGTTCCTTCCTCACCTTGACCCTGATATTAACTGTATAGGTCAAGCTGAAACAGGGTCAAGCTCTTTCCATAGAGGAGACGGGTGGAGAGAACCCTCTCAGGCAATCTTCCCTAAACTGTTGCCCTCCCGATGTTTCGGACTACAACCTCCATAATGCCTGACCCTTGACCTCTTACTATCTAGCGCTCAAGGGAACAGTGGTCGCAAAATATGATAGTGGGAGAAAGGCTGCTCTACGCAATTGTGACCTTACCGCAGATGAACTGGGGTCATGAGAACAATGGGAGTTTGCCTTGCATTTCATCGCACTCTTTGTCCATTAGGTTCAGAACTACCATCTCTACGTGACTGATGGAAGCTCTCCTTGTAGGTCTTTCACTTAATCGCTCACCTGGTCCGTCTTTAAGTGGAGAAGATAAAGTTTGAACCCGAGACCGCCGCCCCCCACCTTCCTGTCCTCGCACTCACAAAAATTAGTTTAGGCAACCTTTCCTTAGATTAAAGAGTTTACTTCCCGGTTACACAGAACTCTTATTCTGCCCTAAGACTATGTGTAACCTTAAAGCTTGCCCTGGACCAAATGAGGTGGCATCGTAAACCTTTTTTTTTTCTGTTTTTCTAACTCATTTACCAGGCCAGTAGAACTTCTGACCAGCCAGATGTTTCGTATGTCAATTAAAAAAAAAACCCTTATCACCAAGCATATTAGTATTTGGAACTTCTGGGATTTGATGTCCAAAACATCTGGAGGACCAAATGTCCCTCACCCTAGCTCAGTTGCGAGGAGGGCGGATTTTGTGACCACGCTGTGACACTATGGTGGTTTCTCTTCCTTTCTTACGATGGTTTGAGGTGTAGGTAAAATGAAAGGAATTGGATTAAAAATTGTTCCAGGTGGCATGGGAGTGGCCAGACTCCACAGCCCGATAGGGTGTGCCCTGATCTGGAGAACGATTTCAAAGAAGTGATTTAAGAAGTCGGTTTACAAACCAACATAAGCCAAGACTTCCCATTTCTTACTTTTCTTATCGAAAGGGGTGGTGGGTTTCGCTTTCATCTAGGAGAGAAAGTGAAAAACGGCTATGGCAAAGCTAAGACTCCCCAGCCTCCTTAACCGCCCCCCAACGTCTGCACTAGAATATCTGCATTGGACACTGGCTGTTTTAAAGCCACTGATTCCTGGCCGCCACCCACAAATTGGGCAGCGTGTTGATTCCGAGTTAACCCGCGCGCATCCTTCCTTGTCCTCTTTCTTCTTTCCAAACCTCAGTCCGAGGCGGCCTCAGCCCCGAAGTCTTCGACGCTACCCCAAACGCGCGAAGGACGCACACCCCTGGTGTAGCCCCTGTACGGAGCCCAGCGTTAGTTCCCCGAGCGAAAGAAGCTTTGAAAGGACCGCAGGGGTTCTCGGGGAGAGCCGAGGCTGAAGGGCGGATCGCCACAAGGAGCAGCACCGGGATATCTAGAGCAGTGGTCCCCAACCTGGGGCCTCCAGATGTTCTTGGACTTCAACTCCCAGAAATCCTGGCCTGCAGAGGTGGTGGTGAAGGCTTCTGGGAGTTGTAGTCCAAGAACATCTGGAGGCCCAAGGTTGGGGGCCACTGATCTAGAGGCCTTCTCTGCTTCTCGACCTCTAGGGGAAGGAACTCGGAGAGTCTTCTGGGCTTGGAGGTATCGAGCAGCTGGCTCGCCTGGAAACCTACATTTGGAGAAACTCCGCGGCAGCTGCTTCACTTTTGAAGCTGTCGATCTTCTCCTCCCGTGTGGACGCGTTACCGACACTGAAGCCCCAGAAGCGAAGGGCGAAGAGAAGAGGGAGAGCACACCCCCTTCTGCTCTGTTCACAGGATCCTTTTTTCCTGATTGAAATCTCAGAACCTGACACACCGGAAGGGACCCCCCTCCCGGCAGTCCTCGTAGTCTGTTCTCTTAACTGCCCCTCACTCAGGCAGCGATCCTTAAAAAACACGCGCAGAAATACAGTAGTTTATCACCCAATCCTTTCCCTTCCAGGAAGCCTCTGCGAAGTGGCTTTTCCCCCCTTCTTTCCACAAAAGTAGTCCGCGGCCACCCTGCCGCCGGTGTAACGACACTTTCCCTCCAGGATATTCCTAATTTTAGGGCTTTAAAAGGAGCATCACAAGGGAAATGTCCTCTTTCAGTGCAAGAGCCAGGTACGTCTGGACAGGGTGAAATTAAAATTCTGGGCTGCGAAATATCTTCAATGATTCATTTAGATCAGAAATTTATTTCAGCGCGACCCCCCCCCGCCCTCCCACCCCCTGTGGCATAGTGGATAGCGAACTAGGAACGAGGACTCAGGAAACCGGGGCTCGAACCCATCTTTGGCCGGGGCATCTATCTCATTGGATGAGGAGGGGGGGGGCGGCACTGCTCAAACTACTGCTTGAGTAGGACACTTATTAGAGTTGCCCTACATCGGATGCGATTTGAGAGTCCATAATACTTTTCCCCCTGTTTGCTTATGGCAAAAAAACCGAACTGTTCTTTAGTATACAGTACTCAGCAAATAAAACACATTCAGGAGGAAAAGGCACCATAAGCCTTTGGCCATTTTATTTTGTGGCGGTGGTTGGACTGAAATGGCAGCGATCGGCCTAAATTAAACATTTGTATAAATCTCACGGCCTAGATTAAAGTAAAATCCGTGTAGTTTAGGTTTCACGGAGATCGACGGGACGTATGAATAGAGATCGGAAGAGCAGAGAGAACTTGGCCGTGGAGTTCGGCCCACACGCACACACCAAGGAGGCCTGTGGGTTTTAAGCAAGTCCACGTGGGAGACAAACAACTCTTCTGAGCGAGGCCTCCCTCTCATCATTCAACAGGTCGATCTGCGCCAGGTGTAGGTACTTCTTCGACTCTACTCCTTTCCGGTGCCACCAAATCCGAGCCTGTCCTTCGGTCCTTGTGCCTTTTGCTCGAAAGGGAAGACCTGGCAGCACTGGAATGTTCGCAACAATCCCAATCGCCGAGGGGCGGCTGCCAGGAAAAATGACGCACGATCTATGTCTCTCTCCTCAATTAACACCGAACGCAGTTCCCCACGTGGAGAAGGCATGTTGCAGCCTCTGGGGCCTGTTGGCCGCAGCTCATTATTCCAGGGCGTGAGTTCGGCAGGGTCTCGGCACACCTCCCGTGGGCAAGGAAGCGCCTTTTCCGCCAACCCTGCCCTTCCCGATTTGAGAGAATCCTTTCCCTCTCTTCGCCGGGGGAGGGAGCGGGAAGACCCTCTCCTGCGCAGCGCCCATCCCCGGAGGTTCCGTTCCCTCCCCCCCCCTTTTTTTCCCCTTGCTCGCTCCTGCCCCAGCACGCCTGCGCACGGGGTGCCGGTCCCATCCCCGGCAGGACTGCTGGTAAGATGAGTGAAGAAGCCGAGATGGGAGCAGGAGGCGGACGGTGGCGGCGGGGAGGAGGAGGAGGAGGAGGAGGAGGGGAAGCGTTGTCATTGGAAATCGCTCACTTTGACAGTCGCCAGCCCGAGAGCCAACCCTGACTTCATGTCAGGGGCTGCCTACCTGCCAGGTGCGCGCCGAGATGATGGGCATGAACGCCAAGCAGCCGTTCGGCATGCCCGCTGCGGCTCTGCAGGAAGCCAAATATGCCAGCCTCCACCACCCCGGCTCGGAGGCCATGCGCCGCGTGTGCCTCCCGGCCCCGCAGGTATGTAGATGAAGCATAATTACTGCTTTAAGGCACATTTTTTTTTGACAGGCCCCAGCTTAATGTTTTTTTCATGTCACCACCAGAACAATCGCGTCTCTCTCTCTCTCTCTCTCCTTCCCTCCCTCCCTCTCCGGGTCCACATGTCTATTCAAGCAAAGCATCTTCTGCCTTCATATAAATTTTTATGACCTGAGCTTTGAGGAGGAATGATGCCTGTGCTGGAGAGGGAGAGGGAGAGAGAAAATGTTTTTGAATCCAGACGTGACAGTATTCCCCACTGACGCCGCTCTGCGCCTTCTCGCTTGCAGCTCCAGGGCAATATATTTGGAAGCTTTGATGAGAGTCTGCTGGCCCGGGCTGAGGCTTTGGTGGCGGTGGACCTGGCCTCCCACGGCAAGAGCCACCATCCCTTCAAGCCCGACGCCACCTACCACACCATGAGCAGCGTCCCCTGCACCTCGACCTCCTCGCCCACCACCGTGCCCACCATCGCGGTGCCCGCGCCGCCGCCGCCGCCGCCGCCTGCCCACCACCAGCAGCATCACCAGCATCATCATCACCACCAGCAGCAGCACCACCACCACCACCACGT